GGCAGTGGATGAAAAAAGGAATTGGACCTGTCTCTTATACACATCTAGATGTGTATAAGAGACAGTATATATATATATGCCTAATAAGCCATATAGAATTCGTGTTTGTGTACGATAGATAGAAGGTAATGTCTGGACGTAGATTTTAAAATACAATACACAAATTATTCACTACCTGTTCTGATTCTATGGCATCTCCATAATCTCGGCATACGGTAATTTAGCTAGCTAATTCAGCTAAGGTTTTAACATAATGTTGATAGACAGATGTAAGCGTTATAAAGAAATCTCCAATTAATATGCAAATTTACAATAATAATGTACATCAACTTGGGCCTACTGTGTAAGTAGAGCGCTTATTGAGGAATGCGCTTGAAAGAACATTCGATTTCTCAAGGCGCACACTTGAGCTTACTAAATAATTCCACGGCCTTAGAAATACACTCTGTGTTCGAGAAATCTTTTCTTTGCAGCTAATTTATGACATAATTGAATGAGCGTTAGTACAGTGTTCTATTTGAAATAATGTTAGGCTTACATTGATTAAATACAAAGTGATGGATATCAAAATATTAATAGTTTCCCAGTCACTTATTTATAATAAGCCCGGTTTGAAAATCCAGGTGGTGCGTCTATAAATGGAGAAATAAATCAAGACACTATATGAATGAAGTCACTCATTTATGAATGATAAATTTTATATTTATTGACTCTCTCACGAGTAAAGTTATTTTGACGAGTGCAATTTAGCAACACGCGAGTGTGAGATGAATTTAGTTGCTAAAATCAAATGTAGAGATACAGGATGTTTCATTTTCAGTATGCAAGACGAATGAATGTGAACAGAAGACGAAATTCATCGTGACCTCGGCTTATGAGAAAACCATTTTAATCGAGCCTGTTCGAAAAACAAGAACAATTAGACGATATTCATGTATGACCAAGGCTGACAGACGATCAATATTCTACGCGGGGAAAAAAATAACACATCAGAATATATAATCTAGAAATATCGAATATTTAATATCCTAATGTGCGCATATTTCTGTTAGCGGATCTCATGAGAGTCGTCAACGTTTAATTAGAAGACTACGTCATACTCATTCATCGATCTCTCGTGCAAGACAACCAATCACAGTTCAGCAGAATAAATACGGTAGATTTTATTTTGCCCAAGCCAAAAATACGACAGATCTTTGAATGAGGCGCTTAATGTTTGCATGAACAGCTAACTTTTTGATTTGAACAGAGGAAGCTGGAGTCTCTCCGAAGTGCCTGTAAATGTAGCCTTCTGTTTGAGTTTGATCAAATTAACGACTGTGCACTGCTGTGACGTTGATGTAAATAGTAGCCATGCCGAATTTACAGCGAATGAGATGAATATGCAAGCTAGCCATGAGCAATACCTGCTATCGAGTTCCCATTAAGCAGATCGGTCTTCTGGGACACGAAATGCTGTGAATAACGCCATTAACAATTTTCTAGCATAATCTTAGTATCTAAAATTTCGTAAAATCGTTAATTCGACGGAGGAAACGCTGAGCAAACTACTAGTAATGATCGACTTAATGCTTATAGATTTCTGGAGCAACCTTGAATAGGCCTATTGTATTGTACCCAGGAAAAAAATATAAATTGTGATATTGGTATAAATTTTAGCATTATATTTGCACTGTGAATAATGAGTATTGTAGAGTAGATGATAAAAATTGCATTGCTTCCAGTGTACTGTGAGACCTATCACATATTCTATTTAAATTATTATTTAAAATTAATACATATTCAAATACAAAGTATATAAAATAGGCATCATGTTTATAAATATAAGATATGGACCAGCCTCAATAAAAATAAACTTGCCAATGTTATATAGGCAATATCAATTTAACGCGTATTTTCTAGCAATCTAATTCTCAGCATCTCTCGTTAAGGCAGTGGATGAAAAAAGGAATTGGACTGTTCCCATTAGTTTTATATTTTTGGATTTGATATGTATTACAGTTTCGTAGGGTCATATTATGGTTACTTTTGTTTATTGGGAACCATTTTGCGTATCTCTGAGATTTTAAATATTTCAGTCCAAATTGAACACAAAGATGGATTCGTCTATCGGCCATCGTTTGGAGTTCCAATTGCTGAAGTGTTTCCGTATATGATACATAATCCGCACCAATAATAATCCGGCATGCTCTCTTTTGGATGCGTTTAATTTGATATGATTGATCTTTTGTAATGCTACCATGCCACACCGGAGCTGCATACTCACTAATAGGGCGAACATAACCAGTATATACAGAAACTAAGTCTTCAATTGGGAGTCCAAAACGTTTGAGGCGAGATAGCATATATAACCTCAGACTACACTTTGATATAATATTATTAACGTGGGACTGCCAGCCAAGATTGGATTGTACGATCACTCCCACAATCCTGATCTCGTGAACCGCACCGAGTTCAGTCCCACCGATATGAAGGCGGGGTGGGTTAAGGGTTCTCTCATGAAGCAAATCTGCATGAGCTTCACTTGCTCGGATTGAGCGTAAGGTGGTTCTCAATCCGCATTGTTTATTTTTTAACTCCTCCCACTACAGTGGTTATGTGTGTCCACTTTTTGCTAGTATTTTCATGTACCCTGATAGGATAGGTCGAAATATTGGTTTTCTCCAATAAAGTGTTTCTGAAGTCTATACATGGTATTCGTTTCCTATATTCTTATACACATCTAGAAGTACCGTAAATGTCTTCAGTAGGTCTTCTTAAAGCATTACTGTAAGACTGTTTAGAGTTTATCTGTTTACGTGTAACATTAAAATGTAGCTCTTCAGAGATCCTGTCTCGTCGTTTTAAATTCTTAAGAAGACGGCGTATTTCATTGACACATTAAACATAGATCAATGTGATACACTATCTTCTTCTCTAAGCCGTCTTGTAGCAGTATTGGAGGATCCATTGGTACTGTATATTGTATGGTGAATATTGAAATATATTATTTCCAATAAAAACAATTATAAGAATTACATTAAGAAAAAAAAATGGTAATGATGACAGGTTACGCAGGAATGACGATAACCTTTTTGACGCAGCAAAGATGTGGAGAATCGTTATCGATTATGCGATAACAAAATATTTTGACAAATCAAATCAGAGGACGTCAAAATCATGGAAAAAAAAATTAAAATAGTAGTATCGCAGCAACGATTTTATCGTTTTTCAATGATATGACGTCATCTGATTTGATTTGTCAAAATATTTTGTTATCGTATACACGATAAATCGTTATCGAATCGTCCTGGTGTAAAAACTTCTCCATTTCTTTTATTTTCTATATGAACAATTGATTTTAGCTTTTTATCGTTATCGTTATCGTTTGCAAGTATAAAGCGGCCTTTACGCAGACAGACCACGATATAAATGTTGACGCAGAATAAGAACAAATAAAGACGCGTTACGCAAAAATGATGACGATATGTTGACGCAGTATAAGTAGCCTAGACTTAGTGAATGATAATTATGCAGACGAACGTTACGCAGTGAGCAAGATTATAGTTGGCACAACAGAAGAAAGAGTCTAACAATTGATAAGTTTAACGCGTTCAGAAAAAGAGAGTACAGTGGAGCAAGTCTAAAATAATAATATGTAAGCCTAGGTACGATGTGTTAGCATCGAGATAAGTTGACGCACCATAGTAATAAGGACACGTTATCATAATCCCTGCCAAGTAAGCCTAATCTATGGGATCTGTACACCAACAGTTGTGTTCCTGTGTGCTAATTTACATCAAATAGTAATTTTTCTAGCCTGGTCGAAGAGGAGCCAGTCCTAATTGCCTTTGTTGTAATCGTTTTCTGTCAAATCGACATGAAATATAAACGTATTGAGTTCTCTATAAAAAAAAATAAAAAATATAAAAAAAACCCACTATGGTATGATTGTCTAGATATTTTATGTGTTTCTTTAAAACGTTAATTCTTGTCCAATTAGGAAATGGAAATGAACTACACGATGCTGTATATGAAGTCGATGCCAATATTAGGCTTATAAGTGGACTTGTTTTATAGTGATTATAACTACGAATTAAATAATAATATATAAATAATATTATTTATTAAGAACAAAATATGCATTAATCTTGTGATTGACGAAAACGACTGTGGAAATATGTTTTAATTAGTTTCTATTTCTACATTTTAGCCTATCTATATAACGCCATTCTTTCGGATAAAGCGCTAATTAATTAAAAAATTAAGCAAATGATTGCAATAATACGATTTAAATTAAATAATAACTTGATCCTTGCTTGATGATTTCGGGTCGGGTTGAAGTTCAAATCTGCTAAATTTAGTTCATTTCATCAGGATTATATTATCTATTTCAATAGATATTAGTATTTCAGATGATAATGAAATTGTATATAGATCTATATATATCCATATAGTTATATAAACATACAGTATATATACAGATTATAGGCCTATTAGATATATACGGTATGCAAATTTTTTAATTGGAAATAATTAATAACAAATTATGCATTTCAAATATGGAAATGATTTTTCGATTTTTTTTTCAATTCACGACAAACAGAACATAATATGTAATGTCCTGTCAGTCAAGACTATGAAGATATATTTATTAATTTGTTGTGACTTACATAAATAACCGTCTTTTGGAATAGGCCTATTACCAACTGTTTTAAGAACCGCCTTAACATATTTACCAACCAAAATTGTTTTGAACGTTGAGCATGGCCTGCTTTTACACATTGTATAGATTCAATAATATGTGTAGGCCCACTGTTTAAGTAATTATTTCTAATATACAGTATTTATCAAGTTGTGTAATTACCCTTTGAAATGGACGAGCTTTTCGATTGACTTTAGGAAGAATGCAAAACATGCAGCTGCGATGAATTATTTCCACCACAATTCAGTAAAATGAATTAATTAAAATGATCTATTAAACTTTAAATGACTGAGGATTTATTTATTTTAATAACAAAGAACACTATCCAAAGACTAATTTTACGACGGGTTTTAATATTTCTGTTCCAAATATCCGCCTACTATATACCAGTGTTTTTACAAATTGTTTTTGCCATTGAAGATAGAAAACTGCCTACTTCCATTCGTTCTAATCAGTGGCACGTATCTAGGACTACAGTATTGGAATTGTGGGGGGTGGGGAGATGGGGAAGGTTCGATGATTATTATAAGAGGCGCTACCTGACAAAATAAGGTGATATTAATCGATTTTTAACTAATTGAACTAAGTTTTTCCCTTCGAAAATTGTTAGTTGAAGAGAACGGGGATTGAGGGGGGGGGGGACGAGTGTTGCGTAAATTCCCTGCGTAGATACGCTACTGGTTCTTAAAAGGCACGTAACCTGAAATTTACAAGTTCCATAACACTACGGGGTGGAGCGCAACTGAATATCAAATCCGTGTAGCCAAGTTTCAGTGTTCGATAGAAACACTATGCGAGCAAGCCCCTCTGATATACCACACAACCCCCTTCAGCCCTGACCCTCACCAGAGCTCTTCTTTTCGACCAGTTAGAATAATGACATCAGTCTAGCTTGTTACAAGTATCAGGTAGCTTGCACAATATTGCAGTGGTGTGTTAATAGTATTACCAGAAAAGTCGATTTTGTCTTACTTAACCGAGTTAATAATGTAACTTGATATCGTATTTCTTGTCTCTTGTAAATTCAGGTAAATCTCAGCCAATGTCAGGACAGGACGTTGGTAATAATTCAGTGGCGATGAGTTCTCATTGGTTAAACTAAATCCAGAGACCCCAGAACTTAGGTGGCCCGGGATATTCATCATGTTTCTCACATCGGCTGAGCAGGGTCGTGTAATGAGAAGAACGTAAACAATTAACCAAAACACGCCCTAATATCTACACCGAAGCGGGCGAGACGTTTACCCGTACCTCAATGGGCTCTACCCGGATCCCTCCCCATGGTTGTGTGTCCCGAATAAACCTTAGCCTGGGGCCTCAATGCTCTTTCTTACGCCACTCTGGTAAGACAAAATCGTCTAAGTAAATCTAATTATCTTTAAAATTAAACAATTGCTTATTATTTTATATTGTTTGTATATATATATAGGCCTATACATAATATACATACAATATATAATAATTATATAAATATGTAACACGCGAAGAGTCAAACTCCAAATCGTCCTCCGGCATTGCCTTACACGTATATATGAATTTAAGAAGAGGCAGAAGAGGAATCTGCGAGTGCGACAAAAATGGGCCTAACTGGGATTCGAACCCGTGACATTCTGCTGTCTAAGTATATTTAGGCCTATATATATATATATATATATATATATATATATATCATCATGAATCAATATAACATAGGCTGTCTTATCAAAAAAGAATAAAGGTGACAGAGAGCAAATGAGAAATACTTATAAAACTGTAAAATGATTGGTCTATTTATCTATGCATACTGAGTATCTACAATAATAAAGAACCAAGGGTGTTAATTGCAGAGACTAGTAAAATAAACTATCCATTGTATTGGCCAGCACTACACAGACTGTCTCTTATACACATCTAGATGTGTATAAGAGACAGCTGTTTAAGTAATTATTTCTAATATACAGTATTTATCAAGTTGTGTAATTACCCTTTGAAATGGACGAGCTTTTCGATTGACTTTAGGAAGAATGCAAAACATGCAGCTGCGATGAATTATTTCCACCACAATTCAGTAAAATGAATTAATTAAAAATGTGACATAAGATTAATGACAAAAGAAAATATTACATTGTAGGAAACAACTTTACGTGCAAACCGGCCAGTTATGTAACGGTGTAAATTTCTTTCGCCAAAAACTTTAATACATTTTTATATACCGTTCTGACTTCCCAATGGTCAGGTCGCTACGATATGATAGTTTTAAACTCAGCCGTCAGATGGTTGAGAACCGGTAGCACCTAGCTATCTGTAATGTAGACTATGCAGTTTCTCAGGTTTTATGTATAAAAAACATTTATCATTCAATTAATTTGGAGCCATGCTTGCAGGTAGCATGGCGGTAAATTAGGCTACGTTGCAATGAAACACATAATATATGAATTTCAGTATATTACCAGTAATTAGGCTGGGCAGGGCATATAATAATATATCATAAACGTATGTTCGGAACATTTCTGTTTTCCTCACATGTTTTTGTTCAGTTGCTTTTGCATAAATGTATTTTCCATTTCGCTCATAATATTTTTTTGTTATTAAGGTCATTTTTATATAAATAGTATTACTAGTGTGGACGTGACATTATTAACTATTACATAACTATCGCTATTAATAGTACAATAACTCTTTCTGCAAAGTGCCGTTGATCATTTTCGTACCGTAAGCGTAATGCCCACTCTTGTTTGTCAAACAGAATTTATCTGCGCAGCGCCGCCGTAAGCACTTTTTTCTTGTTGAATGCGCGCGGAGCTTTTATGACCATATTATGTTCGGTAATTGTATCTTTATTCATCCCATAGTGTGTCTTCATACCAGGCAACGGGTTTATACTGGGGTCATACATGTGTAAGTGTAACTTAAGTGGAGAAAATCTGACAGTGGACACGAATAATTCAGTAGAGTCAAGATGCCGTGTTGTCGAGAACCGAATGGAGTTCAGAACATGCTTACTTGCCTTACAAATGTTATGCGTTGCGTATGTACTGATTCTCATCATAATGGTTCGACGATTCAGAAGGTTAAAGGTAAAGAAAAACATGAAAATGTTACAGGTGTATTGCGTTGGAAGCATAGAGTTATATAATATCCCTGGTTGGAAAAGAGTGTGTGCACTATGTGTGGTGTGTGTGTGTGTGCTCGCGCGCGTGAGTGGATCGATTAAAGCCCTATCCAGACTATCAAATCTTATTTGCCAAACCAATTAACGTGCCGAACATAACCATATATAGGCACATCATGACTATATATAGGCACATCATGACTATATATGGGCATACAACAGTCTTTTTGTCAAGTAAAATCTGATTGTCTGAACAGAGCTTTAGAAATGAACTTAATATAGAGCGTGTTATGTACGATAATGCTTAACGATGTGCGTTGTTGCGAGTGTATGGTTTTTATTCAGTAATTATTTTAATTTATGAATAGATTTGCAGGAAGAAAAAAAAAAGAATCAATTTAATTTCGTAATACGGAAAAACAAAGCTCCGACGTACAAGGTTATTATATGTGCATTCTTGAGAACATGTAAAGTGGCTCTTCTTACTTAAGCCTTCGCATAAACAACATATGATTATGAAATTGCAATCCTAGACAATACCGGTACATTTTTTTTACTAGTATTCATTGTACTTCTGGCTTACCTATTTTTATGATACAAAACATTGTACAAAACGTAAATGATAAGGATAATAATAGGCGTAATAAATAATTATATTAAGAAGGCATGCATAATTACAATATGCTTATAGTAATAAATAAATATATATTCGTATATATTGACTACTTTTATTGATTATTATTGTTAATATTATCATATTTTATTGTATATTTTATAATAATTAAACAATATTTTATATTAACACGCCAATTAATTTTCCTGAGACGGAACACAACATATAGTAATAATGATGATGATGATAATGATGATGATATTATATTATTATTATTATTCTCTTATTAATAATAATATTGTTATTATACACCATGTGAGATATTTTATTTCGATTACCGGTAGGCTTGCATTTCTTTAGCAATATTTATATAAACAGTACCGTATACAATTTGTTGGCTGTAGATTTTATTTTAGTAGGTTAATAGTCACAAAAAACGCGGTTGTCAGTTATATGTGATCAATGCAAAGGTCAAATATGACGTCATATATTTATTCGTTCTCCAAAATTCGAACGCATATTGAAATGTAGATTCATATCTTCGAATCGAGAGTTGATAGATAGCAGCAAGAACGTGATGATGTAATATATTTCGGTTGGGTGTTAATGAGGTAGCATCCAGGACGTTCTGTTTAGAATAATTTAATTTAAACATACATATAGACCAACTTAGTGTTATAATGCGTACTCGAGTAATAATTGCCTCCCGCGCAAATGAGGAAAGTTCACACAGCTGTTCGAATCTGAAAAATCAAATCACAACTTGCGCATGACACCATCCTTAAAATGATATATACTACAGAGTGGATACATGCTTATCCATATTAACCTTAGAACAATACAATGTCATCTTCACGTTTCGTTTTTATTAGGGAGGTTTATTGTCTGTTATTACTAGACCTGTGTCCAAAGAGGTATTAATGTAATAAAACCCTTATGCTTCTAGGCTTTAATTTGGCATCTCGAGGTACATTCTATAGAGTGTATGAGAATATGCAATGATGGAGCCTGCTTTGATAGTGGCAGGACCTTTAAACCCTCCAACCGTCTTTGTCGGACAGGCCAAACTCCCTGTAAGCTACGAATCGTGCCATGGGGATTCTAGCCTCATGCCCCTGGATCCGCCCTTGATTAACTGGACTGAAATAACAAGATCAATGCTGAAATGGACCTTGTCAAATTAACAACTGCCCGACCAGAATATGGCCAGGAACACGCGCATGTCCCACACGCACGTGTTTTCCCACAAACGCGTGTCTGAACAGGGACCCGTTCCTTCCTCCACGCGTGAATTTTCCCCTTTCAGCACACATAACAGTGTCTATCACTGTAAGTTTAGTCGACTGTTTGTCTGAATTCTATAGTGGGTAGGAAAGAAGGAAGAAAGGAACAGTGATATATTTTAAATTGGCGACTTTGGTCCACATAGTCGCCCCATATATTAGTATTAGTATACAAATAATATCTCTACTGGAGACTAGATTCATGTTCAAACTGTTAGCTAAGTATAGTAACGGGCGATTCCAGTGCAATAATATTTGTACTAACTTCCACGTCTATCTATCTAGAGGTCAATTAATACCACAGACGAGTGTTGTCATTTGACTTTCCCACTTTAAAAATTAAATTAGATGTTAATTTTGTATTAATGACAATTTTAATAATTTAATAGTATGATTTTTTGTAATTGTAAAGTAATGAAACATGAAGATATATGCATATACTGTGTACTCTAAAATATGTAGGCCTGTCAGTAATCGGATTGATTGTGAAGATGGTGTGAACGAAGCATTAGACATGGTTTATGAGTAACAAGCTGGCGCTATCAAAGGGTGTTGATCCAAAAATTTCAAAAACGTAGGATGCTACGTCTTTGGTTTGAATCGTAATACAAACAAAATATAAGGAGGAACGACATTTGCTTTACTAAGGATAATTTATGATTTATATGCTCTCCATTTTACGAAGACGTGCAGTAGAAAATATGAGAATGATATCTTAGTTGTCTAGCAAAACAAATTAGCAAATGTCATTTTGCTGGATGACGTGTAGGCCTAAATATATGTTGAGTATATAAGCCCTGACTTCTCTATTTTTCCTTTTCTATGAATTATTCAACTGTTTCCATTATAGTGGAAGCCTCAGCATCTTAAGACATATTTTATTAAATTTTCAGGCAATACTCCACGGAAAGTTACCTGGGTAGTTCGCATCAATGTTTTCTTTTCCTGTGTGTGGACAGTGAACTTAATAATATCATTATTACTTTGAAGCTAATTCGACTTAGTAACATGGCTACTGTTTCAAAAGCGGCTGTTTCTTCAGTTTGCTATTTTCTTTGCCAAGTTTTCCCGTTATCCATCAATTCTGTCACATTTCCTTCATCTTGGAACCTACTATATCACTAAGCATAATTTACAAGAATAGCCAACAAATCCAAATAGGCCTAGGTCTACGATCGACCTTCCTTATACTTTCACTGTTCACTGCTTATACTCTCAACAAACAATCTGTAAACGCACTGTGCACGATAAATCCAACACATATATAGGCCTAGGTTTGTATAGCCTATATACTGAGGTGTAGTAGCTAAAATAAATATTTTGTGGAGATTGCGACAAACAAATCTGGCATTGCGTTTGCTATAACATAATGATGCTACAACATAATGAACATCACGAAACCTGACATCGATAATACTTGTTTGTTATACACATCTAGATGTGTATAAGAGACAGGATACATGCTTATCCATATTAACCTTAGAACAATACAATGTCATCTTCACGTTTCGTTTTTATTAGGGAGGTTTATTGTCTGTTATTACTAGACCTGTGTCCAAAGAGGTATTAATGTAATAAAACCCTTATGCTTCTAGGCTTTAATTTGGCATCTCGAGGTACATTCTATAGAGTGTATGAGAATATGCAATGATGGAGCCTGCTTTGATAGTGGCAGGACCTTTAAACCCTCCGAATAGTAAATTGCATTCACATACTAACTAGAGTGTTTTAAATGTTAAGCAAATGACGGGCCTGATTTGGATAATTATGGATTCATGCATTGACATTTTAACTTCCATATCAGCTACGTCGTAGATAATTTAACCACACTTCATTTTCATTTTTTTTTTTGGCGAACACTAATGTGGAAAGCCGACCTTACGAGGACACGAGATCGCGTCACTCTGGGTTTCCTTAACCAACATATAAAAGAGACCGCTGCCCCCTCCCTCCACAACTATCGCGACGCTCTCGAACCTCTACCTTTCACAACGTTGAGAATACAGGGAGGCATAGCATGCAATGTTTTACGATGAGCATAAATTCCTTCATTATTTAAAGGTTTAGAAACATCTGTACAGACACCATGACGGGCCTAATTTGGATTATTAATTATAGATTCATGCATTGACATTCTAACTTTCATATCAGGTACGTCGTAGATAATTTGAACACACTTCATTTTTTCATTTTTTTTTTTTTTTTTTTTTTTGGCGAACACTAATGTGGAATGTCGACCTTCGAGGACACGAGATCGAGCCGAGATCGCGTCACTCTGGGTTTCCTTAACCAACACATAAAAGAGGCCGCTCCCCCACAACTATCGCGACGCTCTCGAACCTCTACCTTTCACACGTTGAGAATACAGGGAGGCACTCTGGGTTTCCTTAACCAACATATAGCCCTAAAAGAGGCCGCTGCCCCCCCTCCCCACAACTATCGCGACGCTCTCGAACCTCGGGAATTAAGGGAGGCCTAGCATGCAATGTTTAACGATGAGCATAAATTCTTTCATTATTTAAAGGTTTAGAAACATCTGTACAGACATCATTGAATAGTTTATGGTCGTTCGTGACTTTTAAGGGCTGGGTAGAGACACATGCAGGCGATCCGCATTGTTTGTTTATACAGAGAAGTATCTAAATACTTAAAAATAGTAACAAAAGATTACACCAGCATGGATGTATAATTCGAGATACACATGTAGGAGTAAACAGAATTATCTTCAGTTTTGACAAGTCTATCTAGCTTGTGTACTGACGTCATACTGGCAATTATAATTGGTCAGAATAGTGCGTATAGTCGCAAATGTGGTTACGCTTTGCATCACAGCCAATCAACAATATAGAGCTCAGGGTGTTTGTATTTAACAGGCACAAAGGGATGAATGTTTGGAATTACGTGTGACGTCAGCTTTACGGGACGGTCACTCTTAATAAATGATATCTATACGTCGTTAGGGCGAATAAAGATGCAATTTGTCTCGACAAAAAGACCATGGTGAACTGGATTTCAACGACGTTACTCTAAAATGAGCTACCGATTACGAGCTCCTTACGAGATTGTGTGAATTAGTGAGACGAGTAACAGAATCCTTTCAAACTAATGAATTACACTAGGTAACGTCACAGCCTAATGACAGCGGGTAGAATATACGCGTACCTGATAGCAATACCCGGCATTAGCGCAATATTATCACAAATCTCCGATGGAAGTCCACCAAGGATGACTTTTAAGATTCAATTTCATTCGTAGAAGTGGTCAGTTGAAAATGGTTGTATCATTGAACATCATTACTAACGCCTATAGCTCATAGAGGCCAAAGTTACCGTGCTCTCCTCGCTTAATCGTTTGATTCAATTATGACGGCGACTTATTTATTCAATACAACACAAGCATGCCCCTACAACAAGCAACACGCCCACAATGCTACGTTAAAGCTATAGACATTTCCTAGTAGTTATAAGTTCAGAAATTCTGTGGTGGAAAAATTTGGATCATCGGATAAGCTATCATGATTTTATCCCACTCGCTGAAAAAAAGTGACATTTTGTATTTTCCTCGTTAAAAAATTACCCCCTTCTCGAAATATGAATTTTTGTCATCCCCGCCATCCTTTTAGAGATCCCGTCTTGTCATAAAATGCTTAGGAAGAGGGTCTATCATATTGAACTTGTTATGAAATGCATCAAAAACTAGAGTCGTTCCACGCATATGCACGAGTGAAAACAGTCAGTTGATTCTAGTCGGATTTGAACTTACGAAGAAACCCGAGTTGCTTACTGGGCGTCTGCATAGACAGCAAAATGTGTCCCGGGTTGAAATCCCTGACTGATTTGCTAACCGCAACCTACACGTTAGTTTCTAGCTCAATCATAGTTCCACTACGTGTAAGCGTAAAGTCTATGTGGTCTGACGGAATGACTCTCCCCTTGATAGCGAGAGGCTGCATGTTCGAATCTCGTCAGACAAATTTTTCATACAACTGAAAAAGGAACTGTTGGCTAAATGGCTACGCAGTTACGATGATATCATCATTATACTATTTGAGTAATGTTATTAATGTATATAAACGCAAGACGGTTTAGAGTTTTTCTATATTGTACCACGATTTATGCTAGGCCTATATGAATAATATAAACATATATATATATATATATGTGTGTGTGTGTGTGTGTGTGTGCATAACACATCTTCTTAGAACTGTGCAATAGTAGTACGTAATAATTATATAATCAATAATGATTTCAGGTCCTAAATTACGATAGTCCGTGGATGATCATCGTGGTTCTGATTGGTGCCATTTTGCTGTATTCCGAGCTTATACCTATGTATTTTGACAGTCCATCAAATAAGTTATGCTTCTTACAACGTTGGCTTAGAGAAGTCGGATATGCTGTTACATTCGGTACATTGGTGCTTAAAGTATACAGGTAAGTCCAACGCCCACCACCCCTAAATAGGAAGAAGAGAAGGACTCAGTGTGCTACGATAAGGGACCAGCCACCTAGAAAATTTAATCCTGCCTAATATAGAATAATAATCATTAGGGCCTATTTCGGAGTGATACGTGAGTCATGTACTAAAAGGTGTTTCAAATCATCATCACTATCATCTGATAATTGTCATAGTCATAATCATCGTCACCGTCATCATCATCAACATCGTCATCATCAGCATCAGCATCATCATCATCATCATCATCATCATCATCATCACCACCATGTAGTGGAGCTATAGCTTGGTAGTTAAGACATTTGCCCTCCAATCCCAGGGTGCTGTGTTCAAATCATGTGACAGCACATGATATAATCCCATGGAAAACACCGCCCCCTAATTGCAATATACGGTACTCATACGCCACTGGACTGGGTAAGTGCTGTCAATACTGAGCACCAAGGATCTGGTAGTAGGGAGTCCATAGAAAGCTCTTGGCCAACAGTGATATTGCAGGATTTTAGAGGTCTTAAAAGTAATAACATATATTAATGATAGCGGTACACCACGTAGATAGTTCTGAAAAGAACTGTTGTTGGCTGAGGATGTCTCGATATTTCGATTGAGTTGGTTTTACCGGTTATAATAGGTTTTAATATTATAATTAACAAACAAACAAAAAAAAAAGCATGACCACATGGTCTTAACATGCGATTTTAGAGACATATTTCGCTTCAACAAATAAAATAAAGATTGAAACCTTTATTATTAACGAATATAAAGGAAGATTATTTTATGAATTGTCTCGTTATATTAAAAATAATATTAAACAGCCTTATTGTAGTACCGGTAGTTTACAGGGAATGAATTACTGTAGTTAGCTCGTATTATTTCGGCGATTGGTATTCAAAGTCTCTGGGTCGGGCTTCTTTGGGTCAGGATCCTTCGTGGCCCTGTAGGTGTGTCGGACTGCCGCCCGAGAGCGCATACGCACTACCAATGCCGTAACCAGGATTCAAACAGTGTGGGACAATATCAGGTGAACCCACTTTACGCGTAAATTCCAACAATGTGGACCCATTTTCTTAAAACTTGTCCCACTTTACGCAAAAAAATGAATAATCTGGACTCATTTTCTGAAAGATTGATCCATTTTACGCAAAATATGAGAAATCTGGGCCCATTTTTTAAAAAAGTTGACACGTTTTACACAAAATATGAGAAATCTGGACCCAATTTTAAAATGTGGACCCATTCTTTGTGGACCCAATAGAAAAATTGTGTGGGACTGTCCCAATAGCTGGCTACGGCATTGGGCATTACCCTGTCATGTTATTTTTTTTTTCCTTTTTTGTCGTTTCGGAGTTTTGCATTTTCGTCATTTTATTAATAGGCATACTGTGTATTTCGAGAATGCATTCTTGATGGTACAGGTATTTGATATTCTATTTATGGTGCGAAACGTATGTTCGGCGTATTGTATTTCTATGATATATTCGTAGTAAATTCCTGTGGTTAATAGTGCGTTGGCCTAATATATTAAATTAAGATTGGCGAAAGGCAGTACTAGACTGCACTCTTCATGTTGTACTTTCACGCTTTTCTTCGATATACTGTACTGTAAATGTTGACCATGCAGAGCGATTACTCAGTAGTGGAATGTCATTCATTTTCACTGTGTGAAAAAAGTGCTATTTCATGTAGTGGTCGAGGTCCCCGACCCGGGGGGGGGGGCGATGCCCCGACGAGGGGTCAAATTTCCCAGACGAAACCAAAGTTGGGCGTGGTCGAGCTTCGATTAAAAGGTTTCGAAAGTGGTCACGGGGGTGAAGCCCCCGAAAATTTTGACAATTTAAGGGTTTCAAAGGCTTATTTAATCGATTTTAGAGTCTACTAATATTTAGAAAATACATATAATTTTTTTTTCTCCCCGACGAATTGAGCTTTTTCTCCCCGACGGGGGCGCCACCCCTGCTCGAGAATTCGAAATATTTTCAGTACCGGTATGCATCATGAGTGAATTTCCCGTACGATTAAAATCGAAACGGTTTGGTCTACATGAGTTGGTGCTCGTACAGGTCATTCAGGGGAAAGTGTACTATCATTAGCCATAGTAGCATGGATCAAACATAACTCCGGCTATGTAAAATTGATTTGGTTAACATCATATTGCGTTTGTTTTATTAACGTTCAAAACATTCTACAATAATATTAAGCAACCAGATGAAGCTAATTAATGAAATGATTACTTATTTCATTTCATTTATTTATTCGACCAATACACATTTACAAAAGGTACAGTACAACAAAAATTATGGTCAGGGGCAGCATAAGCAAATTTTACTATAACTCATTGAGAGTCAGCTGCCCCATTGTCCACGTTTAAATTAATCTTATTTATTAGTTGACTATATATTTATAATTCAATTGAATATGCTCACATAAGAACTACTACGTCCATACTACATTAATCTTAGGCCCCTATCTATTACTATAGTTTATGCATATTTAAATTTCATATATTGCATAAATATGAAATCTTTTATAATGCAAGAAATTCATGATTTGAATAATAACTTATTATAATTATTGTGTAATATCAGAATATTAAAATAAAGTAATTAATTAAGATATAGGAAGAAGGAAGAAATATATTTTGAGTGACCGTGTTCTGGGGAAATATTTTTTTCCCCAGAAAGCTGGCCATCTTCCAAACAAGATCAGCTTCTCGAGTCCTAGTGCGAGATAGAGATCTTATCAAGTGGATTCTCGTCATCATATTTGTGATGTCGGGGTATCTAGCAGTGTGGACCGTCTCAACGATGGAGGATACCAAATATTGTGGTTACCAAATGGTGGTAAATGGAAGCACCACTGACGGGAGGCAATTCAGAACCTGTGACGTTGAATGGTGGGACAGTGTATTAGGGATCAGTGAGTTTAACAACAAATTGATGAACATTCATATTGCACAGTAATCAGGCAAATCCAATAGGGGGAACGGCCCCCCCCCCCCCCCCGTTTTGCTACTAAATTAAAATTTCAATGCATATCAATATTATGTATTGAAATTAACGATACTCACCTATTCTGAAATTGTTATCCCCACCCCCACGTTTCCCCTGGTTGATGACTGTGTACTTATTGGGGTAATAATGTGGACATTTTATTGTCGATATTTATTAAAAAATTAACCAAACATTTTTACTTATAACTCAACAGCCTAGCCCTTGAGTCCTACCAAACATGATCAGGATTCGAACTTTTTACCCGATAAAACTATTGTTTCGTTGCTCTACCATCTGAGATGCTAGGCCATATACGAAGGAGGCAACTTTTTTTAGACAGATAACAAAAATATGTATGGCATCATTTTATTATTTTGAACTATTTATGTATTCTCTAATTGAACAATGTATGCTATTTTTGAAATTGAACTTTGCAACAAGCCACGAAGTAATGTATTACTGACTGCAATAAAATCTTCTCTATTTAGTTGAATTTGCGTTCCTAATGTTTGGATTGTACTTGTGTTACCTTGTACGGAGTGCGCCCTCGGAATTTAATGAGATCAAATACGTAACCCTAGCTATATTTGATGAGGCGTTCGTGTCGCTCATTTTATACATAATAAGGTAAGATACAGATCACTTGTATAAACCAAAGTGACATTCGTACGCGGGGCTCACCTCGCAGTTGAGCATAATAACCTTAAACGAGCACGTTCAGAAATATGAATGAAGTGCTGCATCATACCACATCCAACCATAGTACAGAGAACTGGATGTTTGTATTTCAACTAGCATAGAACATTCATGTTGGCTTAAAAAATATGACATGATCACGTTTGCATCCCATCCTATTGTTATTAATAATATTCTATTGGTATATATATAGGCCTATATATATATATATATATATATAT